AGCATGTCCGTCTTTCCGTTTTACTACTTGTCCATCTGTGTAATGGCTGTCGTGAGCATTCTCCTGGCCGTAGAAATGAAGCTATCAACTTCTCATTTGGCAGAAGAAACATTGGAAGTTTCTCTACGCAGCAATAAAATATTAGTTGTTTTTGCTCATTGCTTGTTAACTATAGGTGATAAATCAATTCACAAATTTGAACGCATGTTCTACACGTGATGCTGTCAGCACCTGTACAAAAATCAAAATTTGATTTTTTTTCAATACCTTTATAAGGCGCAAAAGCAAGTTTCAAAAATCCCATAAAGTACATATAAATATGTATAAATGCATGTAAACATGTGTGTCTGTTCGTTTAAGTATCTGTCTGTCTGCTAAACTGTGTAGTATCTGTGATAAACACTTTCCCGTTAGCGAAAGTAAAGCGGTCCAAACTTTCCAAAGGAACCGTCTACAATGCCCACACGTCTATGGGACAAAAACCTTTATTTTGAAGCCGCGCTCCAAAACTCCATTTTATAGGATATGAAAACTTAGTTCTTTTACCTTTTTGCCTTTGTTAGCATAACGATGATGGGTATAAAACTTTCGATCACGATCGAATAAAAGTGGAACAAAGTCGAATCAAAGAGTAAGTTTTCAAGATGCAAACAATAAATTTTCTACCCGTTTGCTCTTAGTTATAGCAAACTACCTACTAAAGCATGTATACATTTGTACGGCCAGATCAACCAAATAATGTTTAAGGGAAACGTGTATACGGCAGGAATACGCTTGCGAGCGCATATGCACTCATTTATAAGCATGGACTCTCGCAGCTAACGTATAAATGCTGGAACGGATGTTAGACGAAACTGTCCGTAGTTCCTTTAGGGACATCGTTTAATATGCCTTACGTTGCTCTATTAATATCTGTTGTTATCCAGTGTTACTGCGTTTCATGGTAGATTCATGCACACACATGTAGAATATTTTGTTTTTGTTTTTGCTTTTCATGTATGGTATTTGTTTACTTTTCTTGAATATTTTCATTTTCTATTTACTTATTATTTGTCTTATTTCAAATAAGTTTTAATTGATTGATAAATATTTAATTATATGCGGTATGTTTATGAATTATTAGCTTAAGTAATTAATGGACTGCAACGTCGCTTAAATAAATTAATTTTGTGAATCATTCTATATTAAGATGTGTAAAAAGCATTAAACCTTTGTTTCACCCCACGTCAATTGCAAGTACACATGTATACTCTATTCGGATGTAAGGATTTCACGGATGCTATTCGTATCAGTAGATAGGCTAGACAGGTGAGCTAATTTGACGAACTATCGGCAGTAGTTACGACTTTTGCTTACCCAAACCATACCATAACCATACAAGCGTAGCGTGTGCATAGCATTCAAGTCCTCTTTAATTCGTGTAGTCTGTGGAAAATGGTGCAACACAATTATAGCAAGTTTTTTTAAAGCGACATGAACTAATGTCAATATGTTTTCTAATATCCTAACCAATATCCTTTAATCAACTACGTTAAAGAGAATTGAAATTTTCGATATTTTACCCAAGCGGAAGTCAACCGAATAGTATGCAACATCTTTCACAATAACTCGAACTCAAAGGTATCCAAGATAGCTTTAAATGCGAATAAAATATTCTTACCATTTTTGTTGTTTTTTTCCCCCTCCTTTTCAGTTTGCTCTTAATATTTTCTACTTAATAAAGCTGTCGTACTATCGCTTCCAAACTCTCCTTTGAGCAGTCGATTGTGACGGCATCGACATCTATTAATGCGATAAAGATTAACTACAAAATTTTCAAAGTTTTGAGAAGAACTAACTAATAAAAAAACTATCTATCCTTTGTAGAAAACTTTTTCATGTAAAAGCAGAAAAGAGAGAAGAGAAAACATTTCCAAGTTAAACGACTAACAAAAGCGATTTCTTTAACTGTTTATTGGAAATTTCAGTGAATTTTTAACAACAATTTTCAGTTCATTTTATAAAAAGTTTGCCATCAATTGCTTCAAATCATAAAGAAAAAGTGATTTTAGCCGCTGTCTTCGAGACGAAGTACATCAACTATGTTATTGTGTTTGTTAAGCATCGTTAAGCATACAACTAATGTTCGAACAATGATCTTGAAGCTTGTGTAATTGATTAGACAATTTTGGATCGACGTGGCACAACTGTTTCCGTCCTTGCGTCCTTCTGACTGTAATGACGTACCACCTCGAAAAATCTTAGAAAGAAAACTTATTCTCTCGCAAACTTGCTTGCACGCTTTCGCACAATTTCGTTATATTCTATGTCATTAACATCTTAGCTTCGTATTTGTAATAGATGTCGGTATAAAATTTCGCATGAATCCTATTTAACTACAGCCGATTTAATGCTTAATGTGCTAACAATCTTAAACCCCGTCTCGAAATGAACAAAAGTAAGAATAAGCACTGCTTTGAGGTAGTACATGACAGCGGATATATAGATTTTTACTTGTCTTATGTCATATTCGAAAAATTTCGTTTATTAAGGAAAAATTTCTTTCAAACATAATTATCATCATGTTGTCTGTTTTTATTGCTTTCCTCAATCGATGTAAATGGTTTCTGCGATAAGGTATAAATGATTGTCATAAACCATCATAGACATTGCTTTCCAAAGTACAATATATTCGCACTTAACTGCGATCGTTTTTGTAAAGACAAAAATAAAAAAAAAAAAAAATCAAACTTTTTTCCAACAATCAGATGAGCCGTTTTGTTCATTAATAGAATAGCGATACGTTAATAAAAGTTATATATAGACAAGAAGAGCTTCACTACCAGATTAGACTAAAGACACAATAATGACGATAGAGGGAGATAATAATGTATGGCTTTTATATAACGTACGATTTTACGGCGAAGCAATTACAATAAACCAATCGTTATGAAGTCAATTCAATTGGATTTTCTATGATTACAAAAAAATTTATAGAAAATATGTTTATGAGGTTGAAAGACATAAAATACGATATAATCCCGAATGTTCGATATGGTTGAGTAGACGTGAACAAAAAATCTTGTATTTAAAGAGTTAATCGAAAAGTTCATGGAATGGGAAAATTTATATAATATGGGAGTTGTTATAAACTTTGAAATTACTTTATTCTAAACTATATTTATTTTGTTTATTTACTAAATAACATAATTAGCTAATCTATGCAGATAATGCACATATGAATGCAAATATGATTCAATGCATGTAAATTCAAAGGATAGAGAAAAAAAGTTAAATACTATAAAGATAATGATAAGCTAATGGACAATTAAACTGACAGACATTGTCTCAAAGATGCAGATGCGTGTTTCCCAGTGTTTCAGTCCCATCATTAATGTATATTGTAGATAAATGCGCCTATATAGGTACACAACTGGCAACCAAAAACCCATTTCATGCTCAGGCTGAGGCCACCGACAAGCTACGCGGAATTGCGAAGATAGCTCGTAAATTGTGCCATCTTTTTTTTACAAATATCTACGATATTTGCATCCTTTTGGTTTGTGGAGATGTAAGAACGATCGGAACGACCCCACGTTTTATGACACCGATCGGTTTTCAAATATTTTCGTTATTTCCGTTTATCTCTCGACCTGCCCGATATCTATTAATATATTTTAGCACTATGTTTTGACGCCAAAGGACAATATCCTGCGTAAAATAGATTCCACAGGACCACATTTATAGTCATTGCCTATATAATGCGATATTTTAAGAAGTTGTGGCTAAATGATGTTCAAGGGTATTTATACAGTCGAGCTCACCGGCCTGCAATGCTCTAAATAGTTTTTCTATACGTAACTTTAGTTCGTTAATATCTATCTGGCAAGTTTATTATTTCACCAGAAGGTCTTTTGAGGATGAATACGTATAGCAAAAGCTTTCCCTTTAAATTGCAGTTTATCGAGGTAGTTCTTTCTGCTTACATACTAATGTGATTAGAAAAATGTTCGTTACCTATATACATACATACATACATATATGGTTAAAACGATTCCAACTACCATAACACTAGATTAATCATGATTGAAAGTGAATATGGATGATAGGAGAGTAAAAAAGACTAGTTCGTTCCTAACATTGATATCAAGAGCATCATCACAGGGATGGAGAGTAACACATAATATTTAAATTTTGTAAATCTACAGTTCATTGTTTGTAAGAAAGAAGGCAGGCAGGCAGGCAGGCAACTCGTAACATTAAGTTTTGTTTCCGATAGCCAACACATTTACAAAAGTTTGTACATATTTGTTACAACACGCAGCAGTTTAAGTCAGAGAAGTAAATAAGCTTTTAAGTGTCACTCTGCTCTGCTCTGCTGTGCTCAGCTATATTGTGCATTTTCGTTGGTTGTGTATAAAATATGGCAAAACGTTTCATATGGGTCGGCAAAGAGAAAAGCATATATATATGTATGCATGTACGCCTTGCCATAACATAAATGAATAGTGAAGTCAGTCATATGGAAACATATTTCTTTAGTTGGCCTCGTTTTCGGACGATCTATGCTTTTCCAAGTTGTATCAGAGTTTATCCGTAGCTTATGCTTACGCTTGAAAAGATAAACAAACATTTTATTCATACTCGCTCTTATGATTGTGGTGCGACTTTCAAAATTTGGTTGCGATAACACCGGGCAGGGCGCACAGCAGCAAAATTACGATAAAACAAAAGGAATGCATTGTAGGTGCCAGCCAAAGTCAGCAAGCAGTCTTTGCCACTCGTTTAAGCTTATCTACACTTATACGTCATTCGAAGTTATTATTATTTTTTTCATCTTCATTTTTTCGCTCTACTCCTTTGCAATTTTCCCTTAATGTCACCACCTTAGCTTTGCCGATTGCATCGTTATCAAGCGCTTTAACTAACATTGTCTAGCTAGAATTTGTATTTAAAATCATTTGCATAAAAGTTTCAGTATTTTTTCAATTTTTCCTTTCTTTCTATTCATAATATTTTAGATAAAATATATTCCGGCAAGGCCGTTCCGTGGAGCCATCATGTCTGCCAATATTGTTCTTGATAATCCAATTTTGTGGTGCGTTATATTATATCATTTTATCCCTACGAGACTATTAACTGCATGCTAGTATACTTACTGCAACAGCCAGCATCTAATCATCGATATATCAAAGACATTGTAGCGAATTTTTGGAAAATATTAAAAAAATATTTGGTTTTCTTTCCATTGCCTGAGTCGATTCAGTCGATAATGAATAATGCAATCGGTGGCAGCGCAGGAAATGTCACGACTACCCTTACTAATGGATCTGTACCCTATTGGGAATATGCCGCCTTGTTGCAACCTCTGTCACCAGGTGGACCACGAGCATTGGCGACCACAAATCAAGAACAGAGTGCACTTCACTATCGTCACCACCGTTTACAACAATTACAACAAGCACCCGCCTTTTCACATAGCGAGAATCAGACTCGTACTCAAGCAGATATGGAAGAGCAAGCTTCCGACAATAGTCCTCTTTCTTCTGATACTCATCATGCTAATGTCTTCTATTCGAGCTTTAATATTTCTGACGATCTATTCTACTATTTTAATGGCTATTTGGGGCACAATGAAGACTCTTTATTGCCTGCCGAGGCAGTCGTGGATAGTTCTACGTCATCTACTGAAGGTGCTAATTACAATATCACGACTCCTAGTATACCAGTTGACGAACTTAACTTCGCCGAATTCCTTCACAATCTGCCGAAAGATCGAGTTAGCTTACTGTCGTTCCTTTTACTCTTCTCGTTTGCCACCGTCTTTGGCAATTCATTGGTTATTTTGGCGGTTGTGCGCGAACGTTATCTGCATACAGCAACAAATTACTTTATAACAAGTCTAGCGGTCGCTGATTGTCTGGTGGGTTTGGTTGTAATGCCGTTTTCAGCTCTCTACGAAGTATTGGACAATACGTGGTTCTTTGGAACCGACTGGTGTGATATTTGGCGTTCATTGGACGTGCTATTTAGTACGGCGTCTATATTAAATCTTTGTGTGATTTCATTGGATCGATATTGGGCGATAACGGATCCATTTTCGTATCCCATGCGCATGACTGTTAAACGGGCTGCTTTGCTTATTTGCGCCGTTTGGATATGCTCGAGTGCGATTAGTTTCCCGGCGATAGTGTGGTGGCGTGCAGCGCGTGATGGCGAGATGCCAGCTTACAAATGCACCTTCACGGAGCACTTGGGCTATTTGGTATTCTCATCAACAATATCCTTTTACTTGCCTTTACTTGTAATGGTTTTTACCTATTGGCGTATATACCGGGCGGCGGTAATACAAACGCGTTCACTGAAGATCGGCACTAAACAAGTGCTTATGGCCTCCGGTGAATTGCAGTTAACGCTACGTATACATCGTGGCGGTACGACAAGAGTGCCAGCAACCAGCTCTCACCATCAGACGCTGCACGGATCGTTGGGTGGTGGAAGTGGATTAGTAGTGAGCGGTAGTGGTGCACAAGATCATCCACATCCACATTCACACCATCACCACCACACATCGTCGCATCATAATCAACACAATGCGAGTGGGACCAATACTTCAACACCCGAAGAGCCTGACGATGAACCGCTTTCGGCTCTGCATAATAACGGTCTGGCGCGGCATCGTCATATGGGCGGTAAAAATTTCTCGCTATCGCGTAAATTAGCGAAATTCGCTAAAGAAAAGAAAGCTGCCAAAACGTTGGGTATTGTGATGGGTGTGTTCATCGTATGCTGGCTACCATTTTTTGTAGTCAATTTATTGTCCGGCTTTTGCATGGAATGCATCGAACATGAAGAGATTGTATCGGCCGTCGTTACTTGGCTCGGTTGGATCAATTCGTGCATGAATCCTGTCATTTATGCCTGCTGGAGTAGAGACTTTCGAAGGTACGTTGAAATGATATGAAAAAAACTTCAATCTTACGAATGTTATGTTATTTAACTCTTGTGACATTTAACGCAATTTTTCATATAAAAAACTTAATTCGATTTACACGACCGACTAACTATTCTACAACAATCATGAAAACATAAAAACGCCTTAACATTTTGTATTATGAAATTCACGACAATCGCATTATAAGGAGCTAGGCTTGAGAGCGGCAACAGTACAGACACAAAGCTTGTGTGTGGATGGAACTAAAATTAGATTTTTTTTTAACGAAATTTTTTCGTTTTCCTTTTCCTTGCTTTCGTTCGTTAACCGGAGAAAGTATATAATAATAAGAATTTTTATTTTATTAGAGATAGATGATGGGATTTGTTTCTTTTCTTTTTCTGTTTCTGTTTCTGTTTCTTTTTTTTTTTGCATATTCAGTTGTCATGGGTGTCGGATGTTGTTGTCCTTATCACACAAAAAACACAACAAGGAGAAAACGGCGACATAAAATATTCTTGCGAAAGTTTCGGGCCGGCCAACAGAACGAACATTCATAAATTTGCATACCATGCCAAAGGACTTTTGACGGTAGAAACTTTTTCAGGGCATATTTGATAATGTATTACGGTAGATATTGTCTTACAATTAATTCTGGCCAACCATTTTATTTCTGCTGGTTTTGCCTTTTTAATGAGGCTCTTAGTAGAAGACCCTTACAAAACTTCGTAAGTAAATGTAAAGTTAATGCAAATGAAATGAAAGCATACGCAAGTCCAGTTATCGAGTTTATGATGCGCTACGAGCACTTATATCTTAATGGAAAATTTTAGAATAACTACGCAAATTGGCAAAACGATTCACTTATGACGTTCACAGTCCTTGTTAAAGTTACTTAAGTCAATACAACAACAACAACAACAACAACAGCAAGAACACTAACAACAAAGTTTTACTTAAAGAAATTAACTTACCATACATACTATAAAGTCATTTAGCCTCGAGTTGTGGTTATGTCATACGACGAAAAAGTTTTCCAAAAATTACCATAATAAAGTAATTTTTCTTGATTTTCCAAGAGAGAGCTAAAAAAGGAAAAGAAAAAAAAAAAAAAATGAGATAAAATAAGAAGGAAAGAAAACGATAGAATATGTTACAACATTGATTTGTGTGAAAGCTGTGCGTGTCTGTGTGCATATGCGTTCAAGAGCGTTATAATTTGTTCTCGCAATAATGTATTCTTACGGTAAGATTTTGAATCGATTTGATTATAGCCCTTTATCGAGCTTCCCCTTATTACCTTTTAATCATACTTTTTGGTAGAAGAGAAAACATCATTTTTGTTGTTAGTCCTTTGTCACCAAGAGACAATAACAAATAAGCATTCACTTTACATAATTGAAAATGCGTTCATTAGCGCCGTCCATGCACTCATATATCATATTCATTATTCATCGCGTATTGCATTACGTTTTATGACACATCAATGCGTTCGATTTGTGATTTGCGAGAAATACGTCACTTAAACTCATTTTCTAATTGCAGAGCATTTGTGCGTTTATTGTGCGTATGTTGTCCACGTAAAATACGTCGGAAATATCAGCCAACCATGCGTTCGAAATCTCAGGTACGTTCTCTAATGCCCCGAATTTAATTGTAGTTAACAGTTAATCTCTAGCTGGCTACGGTCTACCGTCGTCAGTACAATTTTTAATTGTCGGATGACATTAAACATTTAATTTTTTTTTTTTTTTCAATTACTAATATTGTTTCATTATTATTGCGTGTGTGTTTTTTTTTTTTTTTTTTTTTTTTGTACTCCCTTCCGAGAGCAAGAGAAAGTTGTAAAGATAACTTTACAAATATTTGTAGGATGAAATTATTTTTATATCCAAATTTTTTGTTAAAATATCAGTTGAAATCGTAGTACACATATCGAATAATTCTTTTATACAAGTACTGAACTAGTACTAGTTAGTAAATGAATGCTAACTGCAACGAAAACGATTTTGGGTGATTCTCTTCCTATGTGGTTTGTCTCTGCTCGCCTTCTCCTTTTCACTGTCAGTTTACGCAAACAAGTATTTAACGTGATTAAAATGTTCTTTCTTTGCTTGTTTGTTTGATTTTCTTCTTCTTGTTGTTGTTGTTGTTCTTCTTCTTCTTCTTCTTCTTTCTTTTTTTTTTTTAATGATAATTGCTTGTGGTCTTCTAATGGCTTACGAATGAGTTGTTTGTTGTTGATTTTGGAAATATTGCAGAGATTTGCAACGCGACGCTGTTACTCAACATGTTCCCTGCATGGTGTACAACATGTGCGACAAAATTCTTGCGAACAAACATATATCTAGCAAGCAAGCAAGCAAGCAAGCAATAAGTAATCAAAAAGAGAAAAAAGTTGTTCACCTAGAAGAGTCAATTGGATGATAATTAGCCTTTGCCGGCAGCTAAGTAAAGAACGCCGACCACAGGAAAGAGGAACCAATGTCAACAGATACTTTAAGCTCACGTACATAACTACACCTGTGCCTGTACCATTTACGCTCTGTGCCATTGAAGTTTTTAAGGCTTTTTTTCAAATTCATTTTCACTGACATCAGCGACCAGAGCCAAAAAGTATTCGCAATAAGTGCATCGTTTCTTATACGATGTTTCGAAATCATTTATTATGAGCAATTTAATTAAAAGTGATTACAAAAGAATTTAAGAACAACAATAGAGGCAACTTTTTCGTCTTAATTATATCGTTTGCAAAGCGAACGAGTTACTCATTAATTCTTCCGAAAATCTATTTTGAAAAGTTTTTCATTATCGGAAACCAAACAAAAATTTTATGTATTTTCTTCAACGAGGTACGTAAGCTAATCAATTGCAATGATTTGTGTGAAACGAAAAATAAATGAATAAATAATTAAAAAGCAAAAAAAAAAACAAAAGAAATCAAAAACTCCTCAAATTGTTTAATGTTTCGTCCAAGTTCACCAAGCTAATTAACCTGTTGTATGCTGTTCTATGTACTTAATCTAACATATATGTGATTTGCAACTATTTTGGGCTTTAGAGCGAATCGTGGATACCCCCTACCTTAAGCACAACACAATAAAAATTGCAAAAAGCCTTTTGGTTTAAAGTAGACGGGCCAGTAGGATGACCGGCTGGCTTCATTATCATATCGCTAAAATGAACAAATTTTCTTAATGGGTTTTCATCATTTATTAAATAAAGGGAAAAGTTTGTGGCGCTTATATCTCGCAACTTTTGACGACGCTACCGCTATCAAGTCATACGACAGAGCTCCTAATAAATCTAAAATGACCTAAAATTATCGAAAATTCTAGAAGAATTCATTGCGTTTAACAATAGCTTTTCAATCGCAGCCATAATGCTGCTCAGGATAGTAAGAAAGTTCATGATGTTTATGATAAATATATATTATCGAAAAAGGGGCCGCGAAAATGTTTACCCAGAGGCCGCGAACATAATATCTATTCTTCAAGACATTAAAAACAGTCCACAGGCACTCTCCATCGGGTAGATAACGTAAGGGGATGATGAACGTAAAGGTAGATAAAAAAAAAAGAAACTCAATAATCAGATACTAATCTCATGAAAGGCGACGAGATAGTTGTCGTGGGATGGACCTGCAGAAACAGAGGCAAAACCTGAATTTTTTTAATGTTTTGTTGTTTTTCTTAATATTTGTGTAATATTTTGTCGAAACGTAACGCGATTAAAGTCCTTAATTGAAGGAAAAGCCCCATTCTCCGTCGTCATGAAAACTTCACTGCGAAGTTTCGACACATCCACTGTATTGTTCCGATCTTGTCCACCACCACTTTAGTCCTTTTACCATTTATTTTATAGTTCACTGGAAAGCTGATATCAAAACCCCTTTCTTAAGATTTTTGGTTAGCTATATGGGAAATTCTACAGTGACAGATTTAATAGTTTAATGAGAAAAATTTATCGATCACAATCGCTCATATAAAGTTTTGGATTTTGACGTATTTTGAAATAATGCTACAAACTTTTTCCTTGATATAATATTATGAACGCATTGAATGTTTTCTAAAACTTGTTCCGTAAAGGAAATACATGATCCAAAGCTTTTACCTTTGCTTTTTCCCTTTTCTCTATGAGCCCTAAATATATGAACGGACCGAATGGACCGATGGACTGACAGACATTTGCAATCCCTTTATGAACATTATACACTATTAAATTTCTAATTACTTTATACTCTGTTGTTGGGTATGTTAATAAAACACGGAAAATAGAAACAAAAGAGAATCACGTGAATTTCAAACGCGTTTCATGTTGCAAGTTTAAATGTTATGTTGAACCTATCTTTTACGAAAAAAATTGTGTCATGTATTATTTATGGAACATTTTGCCAGATTGTTGTAAATGTTAACAATAGGTCTCCTGCTGTTAATTGTTATATTGTTCCTTAATGGCGTATAATTTAAATTTTTGCACCATACAAGTTTGCAAGAGTGTATGCACACATATTACGGAGATGAGTGTGGTTCGTGATGTGCATTTTAGTTGTACTTTAGGTGAATTAAATAAATTTTCAGTTGCATAAAAAATCTAAAGTTTACAAACTCTTTCGCCCGCTCATCTCTGCGTTGCTTGTAGTGTTTTTATAAAAAAGTTGTACGAAAACAACAGGAAAACATTATTAAAAATTATTTAGAAACTTAATTTTTTTTCTTACCTTCACTTCAATAAAATTCTTTTCTTGTACAAAAGAAAACAATTTTTTTTTTTTTTTTTTTTATTTTATTTTATCGCACAATGCTGGTGGTAAAGTAATAGTGAGTTTATGTATGCACGCAACATCGCGAAAGTCTTGATATAGATCCAACTCTTCCGATTTGATTAATTGAATCGGAGTTATTTTCCTATTCAGAATAATTTCGCGAATTCATTTACCCAATGGCGGCCCATGTGTAGGTTACTTTGCCTACCATCGAATTTCTTGTTCAACAATATCTCATTTTTAGTGTTTTGTGACGAGAATTCACGTCTGAAATATAAATTTCCTTGGCCAAGTTTGGACCGTATAGGCTTTCTTACGAAAGTAAATGAAGAATGATAAACTCTTTAACAAGAGAATTAACTAAATTTGGACCACTTTAGCTTTTACTCTCTTCCCAAAAAAAAAGAAGTCCAAAGAAAAGCAAGACTTTAAATGGTAAAAAGGACAAGAACCACCGCATAGCCTATCACGTTAAACACCGCGACCCGGCTTCAATCCTGACCATAGTTTAATTACTTGGTTGGATTGGTGTGCGGTCATTCTCTATCTCTCTCTCCCTCGGTGACCTTCTAACCGTCGTCGTTTAGGGGGCACACTATCAGCGATGATTCGTCTACAAACACACACAACACATGTACTTAAACATATTTATGATGAGCATATGTAAAGTATTCTGTTAGGTGAAATGATGTAAGGTATTCAAGGGTTGGCTTAGCGTCTCAACGACGTTCATTTTTATGTAGGAAATGTAATTTTCTGAACATCTAAAGTTTGTTAATTGTGAATTTTTTCCTGTACACGATAATAATGAGTGTAATTATTTTAATTTTCATAATTAACGTTGAGAAATGGTACGTAGTAAGTACAAAACAACTGTTAGACTTGAGCAAAACTTATTCGCAACAAGGCAAAAAGGGTCAAGACGAACAGTTAAATACTCTTCAGCTTATATAAAAAACAAAGAATCTACCATTTGGAAACCCTTACGGTTCAAAATGAACCAAAAAAATATTTTTATGAAATTTACAAAGTGTCAGGAGACGGCGAGCTGTATCGATGCTAGTTCACTACGAAAGTTCACACATCTAACAGCACTGATAATTAGTAACTAGACAGTTTCCTTTCGCATCTACATACATGCATGGTTGAGCTAAATTTACTTTACAAGCCAAGTATTTCCATGCAATTTATATACAATTTTCAGATTAGTAATAATCATCGATCGTAATCATCGTATAAAATACACATCGCATGAAATTAGAGAGCAAAGCGTACAAAAGCGTACGTAAGCTAATGGTAAGCAGTAGGGTAGATTTGGTATAGAGAGCAATTTAATTTTGTTTTATTGCAATATTCTATACTTTTTCATTTTCCTTGTTATCTGAAATCTTTCTATTACTAATTACTTTTGCATTGTCTATAGTAACTAACCAATTATAAGAAGTTAGCAAAAAAAAAAAAGCAAATATTAAAGAAAATAAATGAAAATTTGTAGCATTAAAAAAGTACAAGCAGACATATATATAACGTCGTACATAACATCAAAGCATTCGGTTCTCCAATTTCCTACGCTTGGAAATTCTAAATATCTACTAAATATCTAATGGCAACTGCTTTCTCTTGCTTTCTCTGTGAAGAGGAAAAATCCTTTAAAGGACAGAAAATCTACTTTCCAAAGAAAAAATAAATGCATCCATAGATCAGATTTCTGCCGTAGTAGAAAAGACTTTTTCAACATAAAACATTCTACATTAACGTAGTATTGGGCACGTCGGACGTGTGGCGTTGCGTTGTAAATGACAGGCTATGCAAACACTTCCTATAGCTCGAGATATTTTGTGATAAAGACAACGTCCCTCGCGTTATGGAAAATTATTTACGATTTCAAGTTCATGCATATAAAAAATGAATTAAAGCATTTTCGAAAAGGCTCAAGGTATGTTAAACAGTTTAACGACCATCGATTGTTTGTGAGAATGGTAGACAAGGCTAACTTTCTCTTTCTAACTTACGAAATGACCTTGAACATGTACGAATAAATTTTTTTATATCGAGGTTTACAGATTAGTTTTTACCGTTAAGCGATCAGTTTTCTCAGTATCGTAAAGAACCCCATGCTCTCATTTGCGCGTAAGCCAAAAAGATATTCATAGCATTGACATCTAGAGAGCTATCAATTCTGCCCGGTCATTACAAGCTGTTGATAAATCAGAATATTCGGGAATGAACCGATATAGCACGGACTGCACTGTCATCAATACTGATACAAATATAACCAGCTAGACTTTTAAAGAGCTCATTGCATTGTTGTTTGAACTGAGAAAGTTTATTGGAATGTTGTTCTATTTATTGGTTACAACTGACGGGCGAATCGTGTGGGCGTTAAAGTAATAACTAAAACTCACTAATGTCATGTAATCGCGTGATTAACGAGTTACAAGTGCATTATCGTGTTGTTGCGTGTGGGCGTACAATACTAAAAAAATAGTCTAATGAACGGACGCTACTTGCATTCCGTGATGCTGCACTGTGAACATCTTTTAGCGAAGAGCAAGTGGAACTTTTAGCTTTGCTCATCAATCTTTCGTCTTGGCCACTTCATCTTTGGTACACTTTTTTCTTTATGTGTGCTCCACAAAAATTAACTTGATATCTCATTAAATAAATTTGACAACATTTTTGATAATTGGAAAAGCTTTCTGTCCATCACTACCATCCAGTCACGTGACTCGTTTTACTATCCAACGTATAGGCTATTATTATTTGCAAGGATCTCCAATAGAGATCCTCTCCAATAGAGATCCTTGCAAATCTCTTGCCGCTTGCTGCACTATCAAGGCGGCCTCATTCGCCTAACCGATCACTTTCGCCCTTTTTGGTAGTCGCCTAATGAACAGACCATTATACACAAGATTCCCGATGAGAAGAGAGACGCAGGACTTGGGCCTTGCGCAATCGTGCGTTCTCTGATGCTGCCGTCTGTATTATACAATCTATAAATCTATTTCACAAG